TTTCTTCGATTACTTTCAAGCGTTAAATACAGGTAGATTGCGTAACTCGAACAATTAGTTGCAAGAATTTCGTAATTAAATACTTCTCTATCGTTAGATTAAGTGGTGCGAGTTTATGTTTAAACGTTATTTGCAAAATTTAAGAAAAAGTTCTGCGGTAAAGTTTCCCCCCTTTTGAATTGAAATTTGATTGATTGAAAAAAGAAAGTTCTACGTCGTATTGTAATCATATTTTTTAAATTGTTCTTACTTCAATCATTAAAAATATGATTAGTGCAGAAGCTTTGGTTATCGTGATAATCTCCATGACTTGTTTCCATGATGTATCTGACTTTCAGAATACATGTGTATACTTATTTGGAGTATTATATGAATAAGTGCTATGAAAGAAAATATAATGATACCACAATTGCAAAAAAGTAATTTTTTAAGAGATAAACGAAATATTTTCATTTAATCGTACGTATAATGAAATAATCGAGAAAAGATGGTTGGGATATGGTTATTTCTAAGCTGTATCAATTATAAAAAGATTTTACGATTATAAAAAGATCAACGTGTTAAAGTAACGATTAAATAATTGCGTTTTATTCATCGTACTTCAAAGGTTAAACGTGAAAATGGAAAGACATTCCTATATATATAGGAAACAAAAATTGCATCAAATGGACGTTCAAGATTTATCTCATCCCCCATATTCTCATTTCTTTTTTTGAATTAACATCTTGCTCGCAAAAGCGATAAAAGTGATTTTAGAAGTTAGAGGATATGACGTAATAATAATATAGACAATATAATAATATAGAAAACATCTTTTAACGGTTCGATCAACAGTTCGATCTACAGTTTCTGTCTCTTAATGGTTTGAATTTCTTTTTTGTACGAGGAATAATTTCTTGTAATATGTTGACAAAGATGTATTTATAAAAGTAAATAAATTAATTATGGATGTAATTTTAGGTAAAAATGTCCAATTCCAATAGACTTATCTTCATTTTAAATGAATTATCTAAAACTGTGGAAACTTTCAGGATGATCTGATAATAAAATTAATCTTTTTTATATATACATACACACAATATGTATATAATTTAGGAGAAAGAAATATCCAATTTGTTAACGATTTTGTATCTTTCTAATCTATCCAAGTTGGAAAAGTTTCTCACATAAAAAAAAAATTAGTTTTGCATAGATCGTACTTTTCATAATTTTTCTAATGCCTGAATGCTTCAACTGCAAATTTGTTATATGTTCATAAGAATAATACGATTACAGCATATTATTGCATTAACTCAATGTTAATTAATACTAATAAAAGCTAATAACCAACATTGTACATTTTTCAATTGGAATTTTTAGTAATTAACTATATTGTCATTTATAATCGTTTAACTCCATAAACTCCAATTAGATAAATTTTACATTCGATTCATACGCAGAATCAGAAATAAAAAGTCGGAATAATATTGCTCTGCACGTTTCGCCGTGGCAATTGATTTTACCTGGAACAGTTTAGCTCCATTACGCGAGGGAAATGGCATAAGAATACGAGAACATACGAAGCTTTTACTATATCCTTATCTAAAGCGCACCATCAATCTCTACTTCTCCAACAGCTTAGCGCGATGTATTAATCATAATTTCAGATTTAACATTTTGAGAACACCTTCTTACTTGAATTGCACTTAAACTGTCCGAGGAGTAGGCTTTAAATTATATCAACGTAAATTGTTGCTGTATCGTGAGTTTACTACGCGACTAACCACTTCCATTGTGACTCCACTAGAGCATTAGGATATTATCAAGAAACCATGCAGTTTAGATCTTTAACGCTTGATATCGATCTTTATATTCCGTATTAGATTATACAACGCGTTTCGAGATAATCATTTTCTATAGGAGCTTAGAAACCTCTGCTTAACCGATATTTTTAATGTTCCAAAGGTAGAGACGTTATTTCTTTAAAAGAGTGTTATTGAAATCTTCCTTGATTAGCATTAGAATCTACCGATCCATAATATTTAAATATACAGGGTGGTTGGTAACTGGTGGTACAAGCGGAAAGGGGGTGATTCTACGCGAAAAAAGAAGTTGAAAGTATAGAATGAAAATTTTTTTTTTAATTTTTCCATCGAGACAACGATCTACAGTGAGATCCATTATAACGAAACGTGATAAAGTGCACGCGTACCGAGCGAAAATTCAAAGTCGATTTTCTCGAAAACAAAGCCTCGAACGAAAAATTTTTATTCTATATTTTCGACTTCTTTTTTCGCGTAGAATCACCTCTTTTCCGTTTGTACCACCAGTTACCAACCACCCTGTAGATTAGCTCATTCCATGAGTAATATCGTGTTTTCATAGAATGTCAAAACACAAGAAATGCTACTATGTATATAAAGATAACATAGATGATTTTAATAACAGTTACATAATGAAAATAAATGGATGTATGAAATCATGTTTTCATTTTAATAAAAGTCAACATTAATTTAGTCAAGAACAATTCTATAGTTTTAGTAATTATAAGAATAAAAATATTGGAATGCGCCATTCTGGCGGATTCGGTAGTTCTAATGTTGAAAATATAAGATAATAGAGAAGTATTTATTTTCTTGCAACTTTTGTTACTGGCTATATTCCTATTTTAGTTCAATGTATTGTTCTCAAAAACAGGATATTATAGTTTAGCATTAACACAGTCTCGTTGGAAATAACGAATCCTTTGTATCATGGAATAGCATTTTATATAGCGCTAAATCTGTCGAATCTCAATCCTTACGCACGAACATTCGCCCTTTTGCACAATCATCTTGGATTAGTATCATTAGTGAAATTTTACACGGTACAAGTTTTAAATCATCAATAGTTTTACGTGATCAATCAAAATTTGATAAAAAAGAAAATTAGGTAAAATAAATTGTAATAAAATTGTACAAATTACAACTCATCCGATTATTTTACTTCGTTATTTTTATTTTTATATGCGAGAATTAGTGAAATTGTAAAATTATAAAAAAGAAATCTAGCCCATAAATTTTACAAGTCAATTTTACGAATGGTAAATCATTCGATTATTCTATGTATGAAAGTATACATTTGAGTCATATTTCATAATTAACAAAATTGTAAAATTAGGAGAAACATGTCCGTAACGTAAGTCTTGTCGCTTATCAATTCACTAATATCGTTAATCAGTAAATCATTGTGCAAAGGGGTCCAAGAATGGAAGGAAGTTACGCTAACAGAATATAAAATGCATCACGTAAAAAAAATAGATATTCTATGTTGTAAGTTCATGTAAAAAATTAAAAACCTTCTGTGTTTATATTAATATAGAGATTCTCTTTCACGAATGAATTGATATAAGTGTATACGAAGGAGGTTGTGACAGGTCACGATAATTATCGTTTAAGAAACAATCACGATGAACGTTTCGTCCAAACAGACAGTCCTTGGAAGAACACAACTGGAAGAATATAGACGAAAGATGGAAACATTCCCTTAGTATCAGAGTGACAACGGGAAAAAATTTCCAATGGACGGCCCGATTGCCTGTTTCAGTGTCAGTAGTAATTTTTTATTTATATTCTTTCAATGCCGTTATCAGACATGGCGCTCTTCTACTGCCCTTTTGCCCGATCTCTGTCAACGATTGGACAATATTTACACAAAGTGTTGCGGTTTTTTCAAACAAAATTTGTCAATATATTCCATGAATACAAATAAGAGAAAAATGTCATAGATATAATTAGGTCGTTTGTAGCTCTATCGTTAAGTCATAACTGAATGTTTATGAAATTTATGAAAATCGTAAAGGTGTAACAATACACAAATTACAGATAACATATAAAAATAAATATATACTATATGTATAAATAAGTGAATGTATACTGCTGTTTATATTATTATATCGTGTTATCCAAGCGCTTTGGTAGATTTATGATAGATATATAATAGTATATGAATTTTGCGAAATTTTCAAATTAATTGTAATTATATATCAGCACCTTATGGACGCAAATTTAAATTTTGTTCAAAAAGTTACTAATAACATATACTTTTTGTAACAATTAATTTACGATTGAATTGTGTTTACACACTGTCAGGAAGAATATCGATAACTTTTCTGTAGTAGAAGAAACAGCATCAAAATGCACTTCGAAGAATAGCAAAATTAAATTTATCTCTACCAGTTTTAACTTATTTACATACAGGGTGGTTGGTAACTGGTTGTACGAGCGGAAAAGGAGTGGTTCTACGAGAAAAAGGAAGTCGACGATATAGAATACAATTTTTTTTTTTAATTCTTCCATCGAGACAACGATCTACAGTGAGTGCACACGTACCGAATGAAAATTCAAAGTCGATTTTCTCGAAAACAAAGCCTCAAACGAAAAATTTTTATTCTACATTTTTGACTTATTTTTTCGCGTAGAATCGCCCCCTTTCCGCTTGTACCTCCAGTTACTAACCACCCTGTATATATAAAATACGCGATACATTTTGTACAGTTTTAGAAAAAACCAAAGGTGTAACTAATGATGTGATAAATATTTTTAAAATGTACAAACGATATTTAACGAAAATCTATTTTTCATTGTAAAATCAAATGAAAGAATAATTTTGATAGTACACAGATTAATTGGTAATGTATCGAATTTTAAAATTGCACCTCTTGAAAAAAAAGAAGATAAACACGCATGTTGTTTTTCTTTCGATCGTCAAGTGAATAAATCCATAGACTTTCTTATTTACTATAAACAATCCTTCTTTGTGTTACAAATCAGCTATACTATTTATGATGCAAATAACCCGATAATAAACCGATGATTGAAATAATTAAAGCAACACGTACATTTTAATTTCCGATACAAATGGGAGATGGAAAAATTTAAAAAAAAGAAAAAAGAAAACTTTTATTCTATATTTTCGGCTTCTTTTTTCGCGTAGAATCCCCTCTTTCCGCTTGTACCAGCAGTTACCAACCACCCTGTGTATCCACAGAATATACTGACAAAGTTTAGCCGAAGGATGATATGTAGAAAGCAGAAACTTAAAATATACAAAGATCTCTGTTAGTGCCTAGATAGTGATAGTAGCCATATTACTTTGGTGTTAACATTTGTTGCTAAAGATGGAGAAACAGATTTGTTTCTGCGAAACTGTAGACTTCGTCATCCGATTATATAAAATGTAGCGGCAATGATGGAATAATCGATTATGAGATAATTCTTTCTGCAAAAAGTAAATCGAAAACATGTAGAATGAAATTTTGTTCTATAGTATTTCCTTTCCGAGAACATTGATTTAAAAAAATCGTTAAATAAGAATATACTCGTTTGAGAATTGATAAATTGTTTCTGTGTTTATAGATATTAGGAACATTAATAGAAATTACAAAACAGAAATAGTACATCGTACTTCGTCTATAATTCGTAACAGATTTATATCGGCATGATGTATAGATCTATATATATACGAAGTATATAGAGAAAGATAGTAATTCACATAAGATACATTTTTAGATATTTTATTCATTTATTAATTTATTCGAGAGCAGAATTCTCAATATTATTCTTTTTTCTAAATGCAGTTTTTGCTTCTATTTCATCGACCATGTTGGACGAATCAGTATCTTAGGAAAACCAAGCTAAAGATAAAGAACTTCAAACGTTTTCGATTTATTTTTGTAAGAGAAATCATCTCAATATCTTTATAATAACGTCATTGCAGTTACACTCTATATGTACCTATCGTATAGCTATAAATAAATATGAAACAGACGTAATAGGAATAATTACACGTTAAAACAATAACGTAAAATGAGGTAATAGCAATTGTTGAACAATTACGGCAGGTATTCGAGAATCATTTAACGAAGATTGTAAAATATCGATATTCAAACATTATAAGAGGATGGATAATAGCACTGTTACAAGTATTCATACAGTAGAACCTCTGATATCCAAATTTTGATATTAATTGTAGCATATGCATACATAATGCTGGTGAAAACGTGTTTTAATCAATGAATTTTAACGATTAAAGCTTGAAATATTAAAAGTACACTTGAAGATAGTGATTAATATTAACGAAATTAATTATTGATATTATATATAAGACTAACCAGTTGATGTAATCTGAATATGAATATCTTATCATAATGGAACACGCGACAATGTTAAAAACTTTATATAAATTAGTTGCCAAAGATATTAAGTGGACGTTTTCCTATCCTTTAATCTGCAATAAGGTTGATATAATCCCATAAAATGTATAACATAAAAAATATTCTTGAGAAATGTATAGATTGATCGTCAAAAGTACCAGATTATACCAAATTCATCAATTTTCCAGTCAAAAATGCCATATATTGAACATGTATTTACACGTTCAATCTTTATCGTTATTATTCTTTTATAGTATAACACGTACATGTGAACATTTTCTTCTCCGAACAGAGAAGAATTCTTCTTCTTGTCTTTTAAATTTAAATAACAAAGGTTCTACTGTACCAATTTAAAGTTCGTAAAACAGTCCTCCTCACTTAACAATTTGTATCAAAGCGCATTAAAACAATCAACACGAATAAATTACATAAATAAAGTACACGCGTTCGACGTACTAATTCTCAACAGTACAACCAAAGAGCAACTTAAACCATCGCAGTAATTGGAAGCATCTCGATCAGGAGCAGAAATCGAAAAATGTTTTCTATTGGACGGCGATCAATTGTATCGACGAGGACACAGGTTGTTCCAAATATTCCGATCATGATGCGCGATGTTGAAATTTAGAGCTCATAAACGTCACGTCCGTTAGGTCTACCCGCAGGTGGGCGACAGGTACCCGGACTAGCATAGGAATGGATAATGTGAACCCTGAGGCGTACGTCGCTGGCACTTCGGCCACCATCCCCTCGTGTTCTCCTTGAGAAACTCACCGTAGTCTTGCAACAGCAGTAATGGAAAAGCTTGACGTAAGCGCTGCGAAAATGCCGGTCTGCCACACAGTAGAGTAAATTGTTGAAACAGGATTTCGAGAGAGCAAACCAGGCCAAATTGTAAAGAACACGAGCGCTTATCGGTCGGAAGGAGTTAACGCAGACAACGATACCGAATGGTAGCCAGAATATCACGAACATCACGCAGCTGTACATGTTTGCCTTGGTCAGTTCGTAGTCCCAGGAGAAAGCGACCGGTGGCTTATAGGAACCCCTGGTAGCGTGTCGGACTCGAATCACCAGCTTTACGTACAGGAAGGTGGTCATTAAAGTTGGCAAACCTACTAAAACCGTAGCCCCGATTATTTGTTCCATGGCTATCCCACTGAATCGGCGACGGCAGAAGTCCGGTCCTACGTCCAACGATGATTGCAGAACTACCATCATTACAGATATCAGCCAGACGCTGATGATGGTCGCTGTTACACGGCTTGATGTCAATACGGCATACCTGCAAGTATCATGCATGTGAAATAAAAGTCTTGATAATAATTTTCTTTGAAAAAATAGTTTAATGGTTGGAATAAATATCCTGATAGCGATAGAGATTCCCATTTCACATGTATCTAAATGCAGCCTATCTACACATGTGTGGATGTATCCGTAGTTCAATTTGTATCATTTTTAATATACGTACACTTCTGTATTAACGTATCCATGTTTTAATTCACAAAATCTGTTACTGATATCAACAACATCAAAGTAAACGTGTATATTAAATTGCTACATAAATTCTGTAGTCCTCCTTGTTTATATAAGGAAACTGTTTTACGATGAATATGATACTGTTATCGATATATGTAAGTGTATGGTTCGCGTTTCTAGAGCTTACAAAAGATAAGAATAATGTATTTTCATTAGCCTGCTTCTAACCAGGAACGTTTTTATAGTAACAGATTTTCATCTTCCTCGAACATTACGAAACAATTTAGATGGAAAAGATTGAATATAATAGTTTAGAATGAAAAGTAGAGTCGGCACATTTTTTTTAATGATAAATATGAAGATGTTTATAAAAGAAATATAATGCATTATTCACATACAGTGGCTTACGAAAGTATCTTAACACTCACCACAGAAATTTTTTATGGATATACTATGTATGTTATACAAACATTCTGAAATTTCATTACGCAGTTGTTATACTTATATTGATAAAATCTGAAACAAATCTGAAAGTATATATAGAAGTTACAGGATATTTATTACAAATAGACAGCTAATAAAAAATTGATATATATATATATATATATATATATGATATATATATGATATATATATATATATATATATATATATATATATATATATATATATATATATATATATATATATATATATATATATATATATATATATATATATATATATATATATATATATATATATATATATATATATATATATATATATATATATATATATATATATATATATATATATATATATATATATATATATATATATATATATATATATATATATATATATATATATATATATATATATATATATATATATATATATATATATATATATATATATATATATATATATATATATATATATATATATATATATATATATATATATATATATATATATATATATATATATATATATATATATATATATATATATATATATATATATATATATATATATATATATATATATATATATATATATATATATATATATATATATATATATATATATATATATCACGAATAATGATTTTAAATATATGGTAATTATTTATATGAAGGCATACGTGGCTGATTCTAATAACCTTGAAATATGTTGTCAAGGTCAACCTTCCGGTGGACGAATATTAGTCTAACCTAACCTATAACTTATTGATTTATATTGAAAATGACGTGAGTTCGTGCTCGCCACCTATATGCAGATGCGTTAGTTATAAGAAATAGTAACTAGAAGATAATCCTAGTTACAATCGATAGATTTAATCGATAGGCTTAAGATGCTTTTTTGTTTTTATCCCTAGTTTTAGTAAGCGCGTGCAATAAAGGTTTTTTTGGCTCACAACGGTGTGATAGATTTATCCATTCAATAAAATACTAACTATTGTGATCCTACCTCTGAGCATAGAAATATCAACAATTTATCTTACCTTATTTATACTAAATATGATTGACATCATCAATGAATTGGGTTTAGGTTTGGCCATGTAAGAATGCGGTCAGCTATCTGCCAGAACGAAGTGTATACTAAATTTAATTGAAGTTTTTTTTTAATAGAAGAGTTATGCCAAATCATGATCATATATTTCAAGATCATAAAAATCGATGAGGTATGCTCTCGTGCAAATAATTACCAAACATATACTTAGTACTAAAGATGGCCTCACTAATGTATCTTATTAATATAATTAATAATTAACTGTTCAAATACTTTGTTGACTTTTGTGAAATGTTGATGCTTGCAATAAATATTTTGTAACTTTTACGTACACTTCCGTTCAGAAGTATCTAATTCCATTCACAATAAATCGATTTATTGTTAGGTGATAAGGGAAAGAAAAATTTTTAAGTTCTACCAGATAACTATCTAAAAGAAATAATAAAGGTTTGAAGTAAAAACTTGAAAACGTTATAACTTGCAAGAATGATAGAAAAATAATGAGTTAAAGCATCGGTCTTATAATATCCTAATTTAAATTTCATTATAATACTTCTGTGACAAGTTGATAAAAAATTCCGATTAATATTTGAAGTCTGCCTACAGTCCAAATTCAATTTACAGAATTATTTACAGCATTAAAAAGTTAATAATATAAATATCCAAAATTAATTGGAACAGTTATCGAAAGACGTGATGAATATGGATGAGAATGCTTAATTTAATTATATCGTATGTGTACATATAACTGATGAGGTTATTGTAATATTGGATACATATACATCTTTTATAGTGTAAGATTTCAAACAAAATAATAATGTTTAGAGCTTTTAGTATTTTCCTAAGAATTTTTCAGATTTACCTAATTTCTTATAAGTGTCTTAACACTTATGGTCGATGATGTGTATTATCAGATTTATTTCTTTTATTAACATAGTCATAATAATCGTGTTTCGTTATAGAGCTAATGAAATCAAAATGTTTCATATAACATGCTCGATACAAAAGTAAATAAAACAAATAATAATAATGTATTCTGGTGAAACTCATGCAGCAACCTGCTGCCAACATAATCTTAATTTTGCATCGCAAACTATTCCAGTAAATGTACTTATACATATACTTCAGTATTCATGTACTAAAATTTATACAAATTAAAATATGGATATATTAATATGTGTACATGGATATGTTAACATGTCATTTTAATCATGTTTAAAGTCATAATCTCTGTCTAATACTGTTTTGTATTTATAAAACGTTCAACTATTTCTTGATCGAAGAAATAGTTATTAAAAAAAAAAGTATCGATGAAAATTGATGGATCTTAGGTACACGCAAATTTGAGACAAGAATGCACAGAGCATTATCGTGGAATTTGAGACGCACCGAAATATGTGTGGAATCTCAAGTATTCCACAGATCGACTAAGGATAAAGTCGTTATCTAATGCAAGAGCTTTGAGTCTTCTCACACATTGCAGTAGATAGGGGCTCCGGAACTCTGTCAGCTACGAATTTCACGCTGTTAAACTACGGGAACGTGCCATAGAATGTGAAATTAGGAACTCAATCGTGACATTGGTAGGGAACTGCAAAGCAGATCCACATCAAAGTCAAAGTGTCAAAAGAGATCCGAGGCATCGCACTGGTGGAAATAGCTTTCTATCCGGGCGTAACTTGACTGTGACCGAATCCATTTGTCGCTTCGATTGCTGTATGGACGATGATGAAATATCATGCCATTTTGCCACTAATTTCCATGTGCAAATTGTTCGTCTATACAGAGTGTTTTTTGTGTAACGGAACAAGTGACTCTTTTTGGAAATAGGTATTACAAATACAGATGGATTTTCATTCTGTGTAGAATGTGCAGAATCTTAATAATTACTGTGATTTATGCTAACAGTAAACGTTGAAATTTTTATATTTTTAAAATAGCTATTTGAATGCTGAATTGATTCTTATAACTTTTTAAATACTTCCTTATCTACAATGACTCACGAAGGTCATAGGAAATTTTTCTGAACAGGTATATTTATATAACTTTTAAATATTAGCGGTATAGTGAATAACGAATACAACTAAAAAAGATGGGAGACGGAAGAGGTTTGTCTCGTTCATTAATTATTATAATAAAAAGTTAAAATGTTAGTAGTGCCATTTTCAATTGTCAAATAGAATTATAATAATAATTATAATACCTAATGGTAATATACCTTCCTGCTCTATGTTAATTTCATTAACTTCCAGACAGTCATTTGATTATATGTCTTGTTTACGATAAACAAAGTTTTCTGAGTTATCACTCTTCTTGAAATGGAACAAGGAGATTCAATTAAGTTTCGTCGTAAATGTGGTAAAACTTCCACGGAAATATTTCAAAAAAGCGGAAATAAGCGTAAGACAATGCTTGCTGATGCTAGTAAAGTATTTGAGTAGTACAAGTATTTTAAAAATGGTCGTAAATGTTTGCACACTGACGTGAAAGATGGGACAATGTCAATAATCTCTCATTTTAAGGACATTTTTTCCGGAACTATTTTCCGTCGACTACTTTCTGCTTCCAAAATTAAAATTAAGGGAAAACCAAATTTTGAAGGGGGAACGATTTGACATACAAGCACGTAAGAGTAGTCCTCAACAGCATTCCGAAAGAGGAGTAGTTGTAATCATCGTATGTAAGTCAAATTTTATTGTTTAATGTCTTATGTATCCTCTTTCTTTCTCGATACACGTTTTGTGGCTTTGACAAATATATTTTTTATATACAGGGTGGTTGGTAACTGGTGGTACAAGCGGAAAGGGGGTGATTCTACGCGAAAAAAAGTCGAAAATATAGAATAAAAATTTTCTTTTTCTCTTTTAAAAAATTTTTCCATTGAGATAACGATCTCAATCCGTTATAACGTACCGCACGCGTACCGAGCGAAAATTCAAAGTCGATTTTCTCGAAAACAAAGCCTCGAACGAAAAATTTTTATTCTACATTTTCGATTTCTTTTTTCGCGTAGAATCACCCCCTTTTCGCTTGTACCACCAGTTACCAACCACCCTGTATATAAAAAATATATTTGTCAAAGCCACAAAACGTGTATCGAGAAAGAAAGAGGATACATAAGACATTAAACAATAAAATTTGACTTACATACGATGATTACAACTATATTCATAAAATTTTGGACCACTCTGAAAATATACATAGAAGTTAGAAATTCTTTGCTGCGAACATAGATTAATAATAACTAAAAATTAGAATATAGTATATATAGTTGCTTTAAACATATAATAATTTGTACTAAAGTTGCTC